CTTGCCTTCTTCCATGCTGTGGTGCAAGAGAGACGGAAATATGGAAAAATTGGCTGGAATGTCCCATACGACTTCAGCGAGTCTGACTTTTCTGTAAGTTGCACATTAGTCTAAGATTATTTTGAAAGTATGTTTACACTACCGGTCAAATGTTTTAGAACACCCCAATTTTTCCATTTTCTTTAATTGAAAATTATGCAGTTTAATGTCTCATTGAACTCTGATATAAAAGAATAGTACAAATAAGGAACTGGAGTTAAAAAAGAAATGGAATCAATTTATAGACAATAATGTATTCTAAACTTTTGACTCATCTGAGTCGCCACCTTTGGCAGATATAGCAGCTGAACACACCTTTCTTTCTACAATAGAAATCAAATATTCTTCAGAAAGTTCTCCCCATATCTGTTGCAGAAGTTGATGCAGAACAACTTTAAATTGTTAACCCATTTTATGTTCCCTGAAAAAGGCCTTTTTGTATAATTCTAAAATGTACATTATTTTTCAAATTTTAGTCACCTTACCTTTTTTTTTTTTTTTTACCTCTGGCAGTTCACCACTTACCTTTGTACCATTTCAAGCTATTCATTGGACTTGAATGACTTGAATTGCAATAAATAACTGGAAGAACTATGTTGCTCTATTTTAAATTAGTTTATGAGTGGTATAATATTTGCTGTATTTCACTTTTCAGTAGTTTAAACATAGTATCTGTGCTCTGACAGGTGTGTATGGAGATCCTGAACACCTATCTGACAAAAGCTCATGACCAAGGAGACATCAATATACCCTGGGGAAGTCTTAAATATCTTACTGGGGAGGTTAGGCTAAAATGAATTAGTTTATATTGTACATTTGAATAGTGTGCATCTATTATACTACTACATGCTGTAAGTTTGGTGTAATTTATAATGTTTTGTCAGGTAATGTATGGCGGCCGAGCAATAGATAGCTTTGACCGCAGGATCTTGACTGTCTACATGGATGAGTACTTTGGAGACTTCCTCTTCTACACTTTCCGGCAGTTCCACTTCTTCAGAAACAAAGATGTAGATTACAAAATCCCTCCAACTGGACCAAAAAACGTCTATGTTGGTCAGCAGTTGTTTTCTTATTACTCAAATTCTCTCACTCATAAAAAGGGGAGGGGGGAAATTTTCTGTCATCATTTAATGCTTTATGCTGTTAATGTGCTACAGATGAGATTGAAGCCATGCCACTGGCAAACACACCAGAGGTTATGGGTCTCCATTCCAACGCGGAGATAGGATACTACACAAATGCAGTTAAGGAGATGTGGACTCACCTCATAGACCTTCAACCTCAGACAGGTATGATTTTGCATCTTTCAGCTCATCCCTTGAAGTAATATATCCTGTTTTTCAGAAGTAGAAGCATTTATTTATTTCCATATGCTTTCTTCTTAGTGGCTGATAAATACTCTCTCATATCTCAGGTGAATCTGGTGGACACATCAGCAGGGATGAGTACATCAGCCAGGTGGCCCAGGACATTCAGAACAAGCTCCCACAGTTATTCGACATGGATGTGATCCGGAAAAAGTTTGGCATGGACATTTCTCCGACCTCGGTGGTTCTCCTTCAGGAACTAGAGCGCTTTAACAAACTGGTGGTCCGCATGCAGCTCTCTCTGGCTGAGCTGCAGAGGGTGAGATGGAGGGGCTGAAGACCCAAGATGCTCAGTAAATTAATCTGCAGGTGTTGTATATTTGTGCTTTGCTCCGATTGGGATTTGTTTCGATTCTCCTGTGTGCTGTAGGCCTTGGCTGGTGAGGTGGGGATGAGCAGCGAGTTGGATGAGGTCGCTCGATCCCTTTTTAATGGTCACATTCCGGTCATTTGGAAGAAGCTGGCACCTGACACTCTTAAGTCTCTTGGTAACTGGATGTCCCATTTCAAGAGGCGATATGAGCAGTATAACTGTTGGGTAAGGATGACCCCATTTAATCTTTTTTCTTTAATAATTTTTCTACCATAACATTTGACAGTTAACAAATGACTTGTGCTTTGAATATACTTTCAAGTTGGTGTATTTTGTGCTCACCAGGTGAATGAGGGCGAGCCAAAGGTTATGTGGCTATCAGGATTACATATCCCTGAATCTTACCTCACTGCTCTGGTCCAAGCTGCGTGCAGGAAAAATGGGTGGCCTCTGGATCTCTCAACACTGTACTCAGAAGTTACCCATCACCAGAGTGAGGATGAAGTCGCCGAAAGACCCAGACAGGGTAATAATCAGAGCTCATCACTTGCAGCATGAGCAGCGAGTAGTTCTAAAGACTGACAGTCTCATTCCCTGCAGGTTGCTTTCTGTCCGGCCTGTATCTGGAAGGAGCCGACTGGGACATAGAGAAGTGCTGCTTAGTGAAGAGTAAACCAAAAGTTTTGATCGTTGAACTGCCCATCCTCAGAGTCGTCCCCATAGAGACGCGCCGCCTCAGGCTACAGGTGTGGACAGCAAGCACAACAGAACTCCACACTAATTTATAGCTCATTATTGAATGCATCTATTTAACTATATTTTTGTGTGTTTTGCACCTCAGAATACGCTGCGGACACCTGTCTACACCACTTCGTTGCGGAGGAATGCAATGGGTGTGGGCTTGGTGTTTGAGGCAGACCTGTTCACCACCATGCACCTTTCTCATTGGGTACTCCAGGGAGTCTGCTTGTGCCTCAACACTGACTAAAGACAACTGTCAACGCCACTGAGCTGATTACTTGTAGCATAGTCAGCTGAAAATGTTAGTTAACGATAGCAATGTCTGCTTCCTGCTTCATGTAGAAAAATACTTAAACATAGCCTGTGTAATACATTTTATTTTATTGTTGTTTTATAACTTTAATTATTTGCCTCACTAGATGGCAGCACATAACAGAGGCAGTAGCTTCAGGCTGATCAACATCTCTAGGGATTTGTCTTTGAAGCTACGGTTGACTAATCTGCTGAAATGTTAAGGCTGTGAATGAATAAATAAATGGTTTTTACTTGTGTCGTGTAGGCTCAGAATCCCATACATGCTCTTAGAGGTCAGCAGATGAAAAATATTTCTGCTGATTTTGTAAAAAAAAAAAAAAAAATCATAAACTGCTGCGTGCAGTGGAAACTTTAACAGTAACCAGAGGCAACCACAAGCAACTTTTTAGCTTTTCTCTGCAGTATAGGTAACAGGGCATGTTTTATTACATCGTGCAAAGAGAAGATCCTGCACAGCACTGAGTAATCGAGGCTGCTGATGTGAGCATGCCAGCTCAGGTGAAGTAACCTCTAAAAACTCAGACGGTCCAAGAGGATGTGGCAGCTGGTGCAGCAGTGACGTTGCAGGTGCAGAAATAAAACTTGCAACAGTTTGGAGCCATAACTCACGCAGTATACATCGTGAAGCCCCAGGTATGAGAGTGGAGCTGTAATCATAGTAAGACTAAATTGCTTAGACTGAAGTCTTTATAAGCCAAACAACCAGCAGCATGAAATTGTTTTAGTTTCTTTAGTCTCTTCCCTGAAAAGTCCCAACCTGGTACACGATTACAATGTTTGTCATTACCATATTCTGCAGCCTAAAGGGATCTCTCTAAATGACAGAGGGGCAAAGGTTGAACAGGCCCCATTCTCACCTTCAACCGACACAAAAAGAGGGAAAATCAGGACATGTTTATGACCAAACACTGGGTGGGGGCAGGAGCAATTGTGTTTCCCTTTTTGAAAAGAGGGAATGAATGTTGTGTTGTTTAATGAACCTTTACATCACTGGATGGAACTTTAGTAAAAGCAGACCTAAACAAACAATGGGCAATCTGGCTGTTTAACTTTGTACAATAAAGGGGAGGGAAATCATAAAAGTAAGAGTAACGACAGAAAAAGAAAAAAAGAAAAGAAACCCAGCTCGCTTCCTTAGAGGTCAAAATTATTTTCAGCTGCTCATGACTGCAGGGATTTACATTAACCCTAAACTGCTCTAGTTCCTGCTTGGCACCATTGTTTGCCCCGAGTGGCCTCGTAAAAGCGCCAAGGGTGCCCAGGAACAAATCCCCTCCCATGTGTGGTGATTGGGAGCAGGTGGGCTCATTAAGACCCAGTAAAGTCAATGCACTGTTTTCCCCATTCTCCCTGTGGCATGGTGAGGAACAGGAATTAATCCCAGTCCTCTTCTGTGACTGTGAAAGTGTTAACATTATCTTTCAGTAGTTAAGAACTTAGCACAAAACTTTAGTAGACTGTATTAACAGGTTAGATAAGCACATTTTGCTGCCTGCAGCATCTTTTGCAGCTGGCCAGACTTAAGCCCAAGGGCTGCAATCACCACAGTCACAGACATATACAACTCATGTCCTAGTTTTTGGTTGCAGTGCCAGGTGTTTACTTTGGAGAAGGACCACAGATCTGTGGCTACTGGCTGTCCCAGATGCAATGGGCAGTGGGAAATGACACTAACCTCAGTTTTCTCTAACCACTGGGTACTGATGACTTTGACAGATAGATAGATAGATAGATAGATAGATAGATAGATAGATAGATAGATAGATAGATAGATAGATAGATAGATAGATAGATAGATAGATAGATAGA